GGCACCCCTGTGTCCCTGTCAGACATCGCTCAGGAGTTCTTGTTTACCCATGGAGGCAGAATAAGAAATAAGTGGGTCCCTCTCCTGACAGCCACTGAGCTCTTGATTCACTCTGGAACCTCCTTTGCTCTAAAAATCTTTCCCAGTTAGTGATGCTGGGTGGAACCAGATCTGAGGGGTTGGACATTCTATTCCTCTCCCCACTGGTCACAGTTAAAAACTGCATGCACTACTAGCTTCCTTTTTCTTTTCTGTGTCTTTCCAATTCCATTTGATTCAAATATTTGCTGAGTCCAACAGAACTCAGGATAATCAATTCTAGGCTAGGCTACAATAGCAAACCCTGAAACCCCAGTGGTTCAGCCCAACAGCCGTCTATTTCTCACCCTCGCCAAGTGTGATGTGAATTGTCAGGGGCTCTGTTTTGATCGGCGATTCAAGGATCTAGGATTCATCCTTCTTAAGCCATCTCATCTTAGCAGAAGGCTTTAAAGTTCTCCAGGTCAGGGGAAGACAAAGTGGGAGAACCTGCTCTTGTCACAGCCTCAAGCCAGAACAGACCACGTGACCCCAGCTCAGTTATTGCTGTATTGACCATGCTCCCAGCTCAGCTGGGAGACAACGCAGAGAGGAGATGAGGGAGGATTTGTCAGGTGCTTCTGTCTCTGCCACAGGGTTTTGGAAGGAGCATGCACTGGGTGGGATGTATTTGAATCCTATGGTCCCTACTCTGAGGAAGATCACAGTATTTTCACATAGGAGACCACAACCCATGTGGTAATGAACTATCAGCCCAGGTTATTAAGCACAGTAAGAGAAGCAGAAATAAAGGTCCTGGTAATCAGGTAGGGGTAATTAACAAACAGTATGAGCCGAGGAATAGAGGGTGGAACAAAGGGGATATTTTCAGGAAGATGGGAGGCATGTGCTTAGTTTGGTGGGGGGATAGGAGAGAGTTCACCAAAAGGACATGTCAGGAAAGGAATCCAGGGGAGAGCCAGTACACATCTGTGTCACCTCAGATTCACCTGTGAGCCACTTGGATGTTTTATCACTGATTAAATTTTTCTCTTCCCCTTCCTGAATATAGTGTTGATGACCCAAAAAAGAAATTCATTTCTGAAAGCCTTTCCCTGCCAAGACCCCACTATCAGAAAGTAAACAAACCACAAATCCCTAGTGTATGGCATTTGTCTGGTGTTAGCTTTCAAATGTGCTCAGAGAGCAAACCTCTGTGAGTGTTCATGTGGGGACACCACTGGTGGCTCACCTGTCACTGGATGGCATGAGCTGCATCTGCAGCCAACTTACCCCAACCCTGACCACTCCCCCTATCCCATGGGGGTATGACATGACAAGAAAAATACCCAAGAAGCAGAGATTAGGAAGCCTATATCTTATCTGGCTGACTCACCCAGAGTGCCTGCCTTTTCCTATGTGAACTGAAAGAAGCCAATCAGAGCAGGAATTCTTAGCTACCGCTGCACGTTCGAATTTCTATGGAAGACTGCAAAAATCCCAGTGTTCAGACTACACCTGGAAGTGGGATCCAGGCATCCAACAAAGCTTCAGGTGATCCAGTGCAGCCCAAGTTGAGATCCTTGGCATTTGATCTGAAAATCCAATAGACTAGCTTAGGAGGGGTGAGCTCCCCATCACTGGATGTGTGTAAGGCAAGGTGGAAGAGCTCTTTGCCAGGATGTATGGGAGGATCCAAACATCAGCTGCTGCTCTTCTGGAATCCTCTTCATTATATTCCCCTGCCTTTGTTCCCCAGGGTTCTCCCAAGCTCAACTTAGCCCACCGAGCATAGAGTGCTGAGGTGGCTTAAGGAAGGGCTCCTTATTCAGTATGCGCCAGCCTCAGCATCCAGCATCCCAGAGCTAGCATGGCAGCTCCTGATTGTTAGCTGGTGATTAAGCAGATGACCACATGGGGCTCTCCCAGCACCATCCCATTAGACCAGCTATGTTCCTGGCTACCCATGTATCTGTGGGGACTGAATCACAAAGGAGAAGGAATATGAATTGGGAATCAGTTCTTATGTACTGCCTGGAGCCTCTGTCTGTGGTGTACATACCCTGTGAAGTGCTGGGTAAGATGCTGAGAGATGGCACTGAAGTAGGAGCAGACCTCAGGAGGGTGGCAGGGAAGGAGGGGAGTCACCATGAAGTACAGTTAAGAAGGTTTGGAGAGGGAGAAGTGGGCATGAAGTGGACCTTTCAAACCAGGAATTTAAAAACTTCTGTAGAGCTCAGAGCTGAGTTGCTCTGTGGGGCAGTTATACAAAAATCTGCTCGCAATGCAGACATCTGAAAACACCCACCTTCTACAATCAGTTCTTCTAACATTATGGGAATTCTTTGGGAATGCACCATTCTCCACCTGGTCAGAAGTTCCCCAACCTCAGGGTCCTGGGAAAGTTCTCTTATCTGACGTTGGGCCAGATGATACCAGATGCCCCATCAACCCAACACCACGCATGACCTGGGAGCTTGGCTTGTCCATCCTCCTGGACAGGGGGGGGGGAGCCAGGAGAAATCTCCAAATGACCGTTCACTTCTTCAGCTACCATGGGCCCCTTAACACAGAGACAGTAAGTGAGTGAACCTGCCAGGAGTTCACAGCACAACAAGAAAAGCACACAAGCACACATGCACACTGCAGCCCCATGAGACCACTGCCCCAAGAAGAGACTAGTACACAAGTGACAGCAGGTGCCAGAGGGACACACTTAGTACAGCCCAGAAACCAGGGAAAAAGAACAAAGGAGTCTCAATGTGATTCTTGAGAGGAGGAGTTGCTATAGCATAGTGTCTTGGGGAGCTGTGCCATCATGCTGGGAAGGTGGGTACAGTGTGGGGTGAGGTGACACTGGAGTGGGAGGGGGTTAGTTATTACAGAGATTGTGTTTATGCTCTGATACTTGCATTACTCCTGGATAAGGGAGAAGTTTCAGAGAGAAATACTCAGAGGACTACTAGCAGAGGGTACATGGCAGTGGTGGGCTGCCTCCATAGTAACTTCTCATTGGTTCAGGGAAGAAATGACGAGGTCTGCGATCTGCCCACAAACACTCACTCCTGTTCTATTCTGATTGCATTGTGTTTACAGTTACTAGATTCCAGCAGGGAATTAGATGGAAGGACAAAGGCAGAGAACAGGACAAAGACTCCTTCCATCTGATTCCCTGCTGGAAAATTCAGGGAGTTCTTGGCTTAAGATAAAATAAAAGGAAGTACAAGAAAGTGGTCTCCAAGTGACAGGATTGTGTAACAACCATAGTTGTCTAAGTAGTCACCTAGGAGGCTCCCACTGTTGAGTTGAAGGGGTGAGTGTGAATGTGGGAATCCTCAAAGTGCATTTTATTTAACCTAGTATTATGTGGATTATTAGGAATCCTAAACTTCATCTGATTCAAAGATGGCTAGCTTCCTCTAAAAAAATTAAACAAAACAAAACAAAAAAAAGATTTAAGATTAACACTGGAATGTTTTGGGATCTCCCTTTTCTGAACTGCAGAGAAAAAAACATTTTGAAAAAAAAGGGGGGGGTAATTTGGACTTCTGAGAAAAGTGCCCCTCCCCATCCACCCCAACACTTTAACTAAAAATACTGTGAATAATACAAAATGGTTTCATCTTTTAGAATATGTAAATGTTTCTTGACAAACACACCTTCACTTCTGGCAAGAATTTCATTGGAGCATTTGATTATAAACTACGCACATCTCTGGGCTGCACTGTTATCAGAAGCTGCATTGGCCTTTGCTTTGGTTGAAGAACAGATGTTTCTTACAGATGCAGATGGGAGACTGTGGGATGGAGTCCCATGGAGGTTGTTTGAGGACAGAAAAACGTGGACCACATCTGGTCCAGGGACAAGGTGTTCAGGAATCTGTGGTCAAAAAAGTCTTCCCACCAGGGTGTGAGCATTGCTTTCGCAGAGTTTCAGCCCAGGGTGGATGGAAGCTTTAACTAGAAACAGAGGATGAAGACAGACAGAATGGGTGTTTTCCCACTTCTTGAGAAACTTCTAGATTGTCTTGGAATGTTGGAACCCAGAGGTTGCCTTGGAGGTATGGGGACTGCACCATGTCATTACATCAGTGGGAAACACGAGGACCAGCAAGGAGAAATGATGGCCCAGAGGCACCCAGACAGTGGGTGACAGAACTGTCGAGTTTCGGACCTCCCTCCTCCCACCTGTTCGGTATTTATCATCTGATCCTTTATAGAAAAAAGGTTGCCAATCTTCTTTTCAGCTGTGGGCAGGCCTGAGTTCAAGCCTGTGTGACCTTGGGCAAGCTACTTTTAATCTCTGAGACCCATTTTTTGCATCTGCACTAAGGACACACTTGTTTTATGATACCATAAAATCATGGGTGTGAAGCACCCAGTTCAGTTGCTTGATCAATGGTGAGTGTCAGCCCCCTAAGAAGGCCACTGGAGATCCATCACTTGATTGGTCTCTAGAGTGACAGGAGGCAGGCTTCTGGGCAGGATAAAATTTTCCCTCTTCCTGGAATAGACGATTCACAAGCTCACATTTCTTTCTTTTTTTTTTTTAATTGGTTATTTTTAGTTATGTGACAATAGAATATATTTTGACATAATTATACAAGCATGGACTATACCTTGTATACTGACCCTAGTACCTCTCTTTCCCCTCTTCTCCTCACCACCACTCCTTTCCCTCTATTGATGGTTCTGCAATCTACCTATTTTTTTAATTAATTTCTTGTGGATGTACATGATGGTGAGATTCACTGTGGTGTATTCATATATGTACACAGGAAAGTTCTGTCCGATTCATTCCACTGTCTTTCCTTTTCCCACCCCACCCCTCCCTTCCCTTCCTTCTCCTTTGTCGACTCCACTGAATTTCTTTTCTCCCCCACCCTTTATTGTGGGTAGCTTCCACATATCAGAGAAAATATTTGACCTTTGGGCAAACACATTTCTTTAACACTTCTTTTTTTTTTACTTTTTTTTTCTCAGATACTGGCTGACCAACAAAGTCCACATCAAAAGACCCACCACCGGCCTCTTGATGTATACTCTGGCCACACGTTTCTGCAATCAGATCTACCTCTACGGCTTCTGGCCCTTTCCACTGGATCAGAACCAGAACCCCGTCAAGTACCACTACTATGACAGCCTCAAATATGGCTACACCTCCCAGGCCAGCCCCCACACCATGCCCTTGGAATTCAAGGCCCTCAAGAACCTGCACGAGCAGGGGGCATTGAAACTGACTGTCGGCCGGTGTGACGGGGCCACGTAAGGTGGGCACCCCGTGAGACTCAGTGGCTCACATTTCCTGCCAGCTACACCACAGGCAGATGGGAGTCGGGTGGCACAAACAATAGAACAAGCAGGCTAGTGGTTTCCTTTGTTAAAGTGTAAAACAGTGACCAGAATATATATATCTGTACCTGCATATATATATTGACCTGAGTATTTATAACTGTGTGGTGTTCATCTAGCATTAGGCAGATAAGCCACAGGAAGAAGGTGTGGAGAACCCACCTGAACCAGATTGAAACTCAGTCCATCTTTGGGGGCGGAAAGACTTGACATGCAAAGAAGCCGGTCCCATGACTTTGAATGACAACCTGCCTCCTCAGTTGGGAGGATCTTTGGGCTCGTGGATGAATGGAGAGCCACCTATTGTCAGCTGCCTGGACCTCTAGGATATGTGGATTCTGGGTAGCCAAGACCCAGAGAGGACAGTTTGACCCAGTCTAAAGCCGTGCTGTTCACGGAGGAGCGGTTAGAGAATTTAGCTGGGCAAAGGAGCACAAAGAAGCCAAGCAGAGGCCACAGCAGAGCTGAGGGCCATACTTCATGAACTTAGAGTTTGATTGCCCAACGGACAAGCTGTGGGTGACATACATGTCCCCGACAGGCCTCCACAGCTATGGAGAGAAGGCTAAAGGAGACACGATGGAAAGTCAATATTCTGGCTAAGCAAGAACCACCAAGAACCTCAGGTGGAGCAGGCAGATGACCCTAAAGAGGTAGAGTGCTCTAAATCATGCTTGTGAAAAATTGAGAACTTCTTCCAAGGGCGTGCTCCACCTCAGAATAAGGAGGAAGAGTGTCCAAAATGTGGTCATTGTGTTGGGTGTTTTTTGAAGCAACTGAGGTCTGCCAAGAAGGACACCATGGGATTTTTACCTTCTAGGTTAGCCTCCATCTCACCCTCTTAGAATGTCACACGAGAAACTGTATGTCCCTTGTGCCACCAGGGGAGACACAACAAAAAATTTGAAAGGGCACTGTCAAGATAAATGTCATCCTTTTTAAAATATATATGATTGCCTTTCTGGGGGCCTCACAGAACCCCAGAATATAAGACCTGAAAGAATGTGAAGCCTCCAGCCCCGTGTCTCTGCAGCCACTCTCTTTATTTACTGTCTGCATCCTGCGCTCTGCAGGGCCCCTGCAGCCAGACTGGCTGTATCAATGTCACTTTCTTGCCACTATCGCATCCTAATGGTCATACTCACCCTCACAGAGCTCCTCATGAGGTTTTTGGAGGAGGTTTTCAACTCTGCAGGGAAAGGTTCCAATGTCCACCCCACACCCACCACCTTCTTCTCCCCACAGAGGCAATGATGGTGGAATTTTGCAAAATCCTTTTTTTTTCCTCTTGCTAAGATTCTCATTTAAGACTTTTGTTTTTATGAAAACCCAAAGTCAAATGCTGGACATAATCTCCTGCAGAAATCTGGGCTCCATGCCAATAATTTAGGGGCTAGAATCACAGGTCACACGTAGAGAAGCATTAGTCAGCTTGATTTGTTAGATGTATTCCCTCGCCTGATAAATAACAGTGTTTTAAAACATATTTGAAAGATAAGTAAAAAACCATTATCTTGAAGGTGAAGAGAGTTAAGGAAAGTAATCAAGATCTGCGCCCAAGCATATGAGACTGGACATAATTAATCAATGGCAAAGAATGGCTGATGGGAAACAAATGGAAGTGGGGGAGGATACCCAAGCCATTAACCCACACACAGACACTCCAGCCCGAAACCAGGACAGCCTCCATACATCTCTGCTTTTGTCCTCTTTGTTCTTGTTGTTGCTTGAAGCCTAAAGTTTGGGATTTGCATTATAAAATGAATATTTAAGAAGGCAAGCTCTCTAATGGCCTCGGTGGGAACTGAGTGGTTCAACCTCCTCATGAGCAGTGGAAATAATTAGTATCATAATTTACACGTCTCCAGAGCCTTTTGTCTTGAGGTTCTCAAAGGCCCTAGAAGAACATTTAATTTCTAAAGTTTACAGTGCCCCGGGGAGCAGGTAGAATTACCAGCCAAGGCCTTGGGTTAGCCAAGGCCTTAGATTCCAGAATGTTCCATGGTAAGTCCCAAGGTGATCCCAGATGTCAAATCCTAGAGTTGGCTATGAGATCTGTCCAGCAGGCCAGTGCCCTCTGTCTGCAGGAGAGTTAGAGGGCCAGAGCACTTTGGAGAACCTCATAGACAGGTTCTTTCCAAAAAAAGACTAGAGGCCCCAGGACCATCCACACATGTACCGCTATAGAGCTAGTCTTGTGCTGCCAAAATGCTTTGGCTGTGTGGTGGCAGGAGCTCCAGGGGACATCGCCTTCCCTCTCTCCTCATCTTTTTCCACCTGGGCAAGCACAGCCAGGAGGCTGGCTGTCCTTCCTGCCTATTTAAAGCTCACTTGGAGCCAAGGTTCCTCTGCAGTCTCTGGCACAGATTGGCTCACCTTGGGTGGACCCAGGGAGTCACAGTCTGTACCCCTTACCATGATCTGCTGCCTCGTCGCTACAGCCAGGCTTTCCATCATCCTCAGCTGGCTCAGTCACATCTCCAGTCGCCCACCATCACCCACCTGAGGCCCTTCAAACCTTTTCCATTGGCCTCAAGCCCCACACTCAACCTCCTCCTTTACTGAAGAGATGGAGCCCTCTGAAATGAGATCTGTCCTCAAAATCTCTCTTGGGCTCTTCCCTCACCCTTCACCTTCTTCCTCCCATTTCTGAGGAAGTAAGGTTCCTTCTCTGGCCAGATGTGTTTTCTCTCACCCGCTCCCCTCCCCGTGTCTGCCATCTCTGTCCCCTGTATGTACCAGCATGTGATCATTGCACACATCCTGGCTCCTGTAGCCTGTTCACTCACCTCCCTTCACCACCAGACCTGGGCAGGGCCTCCAGCACCCACTGCTGCCCTTCCTTCCTCCTGACAGTGTGCCTCACCTTCCACATCTAGCCCACTCTGAGGCCAATGTCTCAGCACCCTCCATGTTGCCAACTTGAAAGGTCACTTCTCACCAAAAAAAATCTAGAGTGACCCCTCCTGGATAGTGCCTGGCATCAAAATGACGAGGATGCAGATGCCATGTTCTGGTAGCTTTTCCCCTCACTTCCCAACCCCTCCTGACCATTTATTTATGTATTTATTTATATATTTATGAGTTATTTATTGATACTCCTACGTTGATCTAAAAAAAAGCAATCAAGGTAGATCTGACCATTCTTCTCCTTGCGCCACAGTGTAGACAATTCCTTGTACTGATAGCCTCCCCTCAGGTCCCCTAAACACTCCATCGGCAGCCTCACACCTTCCTTTAGATCCAGCCATCACCCCTCTCCAGGCGCCTTGCCCTCCACTCCCCTCCACAGCCCAGCCCCTCTCCCCAGCTCCACACTTGCTGTGCGCGAAGCTTGTTGACACCTCCTGTCTGCTCTGGAAGCAGCACGATTGACTCAGCATGTTCTGAAGTAAGGGAGTCCTCTCTGTCTCCCCTTCCTCCATGATCCCTCCTTTTTCTGTTGGAAGACCCATGACTCTTTCAACCATGCAGCCTGAGACCCTAAATCATCTTTGACTCCTCCTCCACATATACCCTTCTTACTCCTTCTCACTAGCATCAACTTCACCTCTTTAACTGTCCTTTGGATCTTCCAGCCCCTCCTCTCCCACATTTCCCTGTGCATGCTTCCATGTTCTCCAGTCCCTCCTGAGCATGCCCAGTGATTTCCACCTCCAGCTCTTCAACAAACCTAAGTTCTCCTGGCCCACAATCAAACGTGCAAGTCTTTGTCCTGATATTACCGACCACTCGATAAGGTTCCATTCTTCCTTTACACCCTACATCAGCCAATCCAGAAAAGATGTTGTTCCTTGAAGGGACACCTGCCTTTCCTGTCTCTGTGCCTTTGGTCTTGCAGCTCTCATCCCCTGGACCGCTCTTGAGTTCCTACCGAGGCCCTCGCAGAGACCACATCTTTCATGAAGCCCCTGATCCACCAACCACTGGGATCTCTCCCTCCGCTGAACCACCGTAGCACTTTATTTGTACCTTTCTCATGGCACTTACCATATTCTGCCTTGTATTATAGTTATTTGTGCACTTGTCCTATGACTGTTCTTAGACTGTAAGCTCGCCAAGGGCAGGGACTGTTTTATTCATCAGTACTCCATCACAGCACCAGGTGTGGTGCCTAGCATACAGCAGTTGCTCAATAAATGTTTGTTGGATTAAATCCTGAATGTCTGTAGAGGCCTTTATAATTAATGAAGTTATTTTACTGCCATAAGAACTCTCAAAGAATGATACAATTCAGGCCAAAGCAGAAATAATTATCCCTATTATGTAGATCATCAAATTAAAGTAAAAACCTGCTAAGGACTCCTGCCTCACTGGCAGAATTCTCGCCCAGGTTTTCTTACCCTCACTCCAGGGCTTTTTCTGTTAAACCTTGTGGTTGAGTCATTGCAAACTGAAAACTGACCCTCAATATAGGCCAGGCTGCCCATAGGTGTCTCCTTCTCAGGTTGAGGGCAAACCTCAGTGTGAACCCCAACCCCTGTGCCCATCAGTACAACAGAATCTACTCCTTTCTGAGAAGAACGAAAGTGATCTGGGTTTTCTCAGGCCTGGGGGGTAAAGCTGTAGGACCTCATCAATCATTCCTCCTGCCACGGTCACAGAGTAGGAAGCCATTTGTCCAGATGGCAGCGAGACCAAGAGCTCTGAGGGGCTGCTGTTTGATGAATCTCTCCATGCCTAATTAAGGCGCCCCTTCCAGAATGAATGGAACAGGGTAGTTTATTGATGCTGGTCAGATGGGACTCCAGACGTGCCTGCTGCTTCATGAATGCCCTTAATAGCATTCCCAATGACACCAACAGCCTGCACCGCCCGCTGTCTCTCCCAGCGATGCTGATGTCATCTCTTCCCACCTTCACTCCCATCTGTCCCCTCCCTTCCCCAAAGCGCTCTCCTTGGCAGGGGGAACCCAGA